TGATATCTACCAGCCCTGATGGCCGGGGACCTGGAATCCTGAGCGAGCCTGGGAAAATCCAAAGACCATGATTCTATCACAGCTGGACTTTTAAAAACTTCCAAAGCAGTCTTGATCATCAGCATTATTCAGATTGCTCACGAGTCACCAGAATTCTTCAAAAATGTGTCTCCCTGGGACACCTGGCATCCCTGTAGGTCATGGGTTCCCAAAATGGTACGTGTACCCCTGGAGGTATGCAAGGCATCTATGGGGGTGTATGGGAGCAATTGTGTAATGGTGGATTTAACTGTCATTATTATAATAATTGGTGCTTAGGGGGTTAAAATATAAAGCCTATGCTGGTAGGGGTACACGGGCAGCTGGTAAATGTGGAAGGGGGTATTCAATAAGAAAAAGTTTGGGAACCTCTGCTCTAGCTGCTGGGCCATTTCTCTCAGATGCCTTTGCAATAAAGGAATTGATTTCCCCATTACAGGCAAGCAATGCCTTGGCTTACCCACCCATTAATTTTTCTTTCTGTGTATGCGGGAGTGGCAAATCTTCTTGTCCTAGTGGCACAATAGCAAAAGAGATTTATCAGTTGCACCGTCTCCATTTCCTTGACTAAACCATATCCAGAATCATAAAGATGTGTAGATTATGTTACGCTCTCTGTATATATAATGATTAATAGTAACATAAATTAATACAGCATAACATGGGCTTCTCAACGAGATTACACGTGCTCTATCAATGAAATAAATACAAGAAAATCTGTATGACGCTCCATGAGCCTCTTCCCACCTAGTGTTGGTGGGGTTTGTGACAACCTCCCTCTAATATTTATTCACAGAGCTTAATGTTCTGAATATCTGATTAATATTCTCACAAGGTGGTCAGGAGATGAAAAATGTATATTCAGTTAAAATGGTTGGTCAAAATGTGGATAGACAAAGTAGTTACTTGATTAGGCCAGGACACACAGCTCAGCAACCTGCAACTTAACTGAAAGCTCCAAATTTTTAATGGGGCCAAGATTTGTCATCTTGGAGATTGTAATAAAAATAAATAAAATTCATTGCAGGAAGTTAAAGTATTGAAATTACTTTTATGCTTGTTCCAAGGTTGCAGAGAAACAAGAGGGAAAGAAAAAAACAGCAGGGAACTCTCAGAATCAAAAGTGAGAAATGTTCAAGTTAGAAAACGATTAGTTACTGAAGACATTGGAGAGGATTGTGAAGACACAGAGCAAGATCAGGGAAAGAAGAGCAAAACTACTGAAAAAGACACATCGCAGGTACTGCTTATTTGCTTGTTGCCAAGTCACCTTATTTCAAGTATTATTCAATGCAGTTGACAATACCATAGGCCTCCTTTTATACATTATATCATAGATTCATAGATGTTAGGGTCAGAAGGGACCTCAATAGATCATCGAGTCCGACCCCCTGCATAGGCAGGAAAGAGTACTGGGTTTAGATGACCCCAGCTAGATGCCTATCTAACCTCCTCTTGAAGACCCCCAGGGTAGGGGAGAGCACCACCTCCCTTGGGAGCCCGTTCCAGACCTTGGCCACTCGAACTGTGAAGAAGTTCTTCCTAATGTCCAGTCTAAATCTGCTCTCTGCTAGCTTGTGGCCATTTTTTCTTGTAACCCCCAGGGGCACCTTGGTGAGTAAAGCCTCACCAATTCCCTTCTGTGCCCCCGTGATGAACTTATAGGCAGCCACAAGGTCACCTCTCAACCTTCTCTTGCGGAGGCT